TCAATATCGCTAATTATACAGTAAAATAGCACCAGATTATTACGAAGAATTATGCAATCATCATGATCAGCTAAGGAAGTAATAAAATTGATAATAAAGCAGTAAAGATAACAAGAGAGTATTATATCGAAAAGCATCGGAAAACGTCTAGAAAGCACAGAAGAAAAAAGACAATTCCTAGACCAAAAACTGCATTCAGAAAGATTCTCAAATTTCAGATTCGAACAAGTAATGAATTGTACACTCTTGCATCATTAAAAGTAATGAGAACTTATTAGCAATAAGAGTAAAAAACAAAATTAAAAAGCGTTAGTATAATACTAAAAACGAGATTTCATATAAGATTGAAAATGAGAAGCAAAACCTCTTAAATTTGCAAAACATGATAAGCTTTTCCTAAAAATTTTGGAAATTTCGAAAACAAAAGTGAAATTTTCAAGTCTCACATAGAGCTCTATGCAGAAAAAAGAAGAAATAGAAGTTCCAAGAGGTAAAAAGACATATTAACAATGCAATAGTTCGGAGGCTCTGCAGTAACAATAAGCGCAATTAAGGTGACATTGGTAAATTGCCCGAATAATGCGACATTTGCACAAATCTTGGAGAAGAGAGAACAATGGTAAGATCAGGCATAGAATTCATGTACGAGAATATAAGCGAGGCAATGTTTTATGTACTTTTTCTAACTGATGCAGAAATGAAAGCGAACTAAATCTACGTAAACGAAAATGCTAATCGCTAGAAGTAAAACACTGCTGCATCTTTCGACCCAGAAAAGCATCTGCAGATACTTAACTACTAAATAACGCAGTTAAGTCAGCACTAGAAAAGCAGAATCTTAATCAAAGAGCTTCCATTGTTACTGCGAAATAGTTCATGAAGGTGTAGCTGCGTCCAGTGTATTCCTCTTCCGGGATATCTGTTGACAACCGCTGGCAGCTATCATATCTGCTAGGCTGTTAAGATCCGGTTGTTCACCATTGCTAACATCAATGCAGAAGAGTAGAAAAGTTCAATTATGGCCATCAGTACTAAGATCGTTCGGGCTATCAGTGTGATATTCCATTCCCAGCTATGATATTAAACAAAAAAAAACCGGCTTTTCGGCAACAGAAATTTTCCGATTTTGGATCTGCGACTCGTATTCAGACTTATGTATTTGAAGGATTAACCGAACCTTTAAAAATGGAACCCTTCATTTTTCCACTTAACTGCTACAACGAAAATACTTGGCAACAATTTAACAACACGGGGAACCCCGCCAAATATTCATAAATAACCACTACTCCACCGTAACAAGTTACTTCGTTTCATCCTATTAAGTTTTTTCACCGACGGTGCAGTCGCACCACCAGCCAGTGCTTCTCGTTCAGCGTCACTTTTACGTCGCAGCACGAAATTTAACATTGATGATGACGGATCCGGCGCCACTGCATAGTATGGATTGCACTTCTCTGGCAAGCGAAATTCGCCTGAATAATGAAATCTACTAGAATCTGATCTAGTGCAATGGAGCTGTTGTAATGAAGTTGACCTGCGGTGTGGCATCTAGACGCTCTACGATTCGTTCACTCGCTTCGATGGTAAATTGAGAGGAAAACTGCTGGTTGTTGTTGTACGTGCTACTACTTGTGCTAATTGCGGATGTTCTCACTTCCCACAGGCAGCAGATACATGGAGAGGAGGATTTTGACTTTTGATTAGAATTTTATCAGGCACTGTTTCGTCGCTGCAAACCTTCACATCATCAATAAAGCTAGCTACCCTCCAGAACTGTTGTGACCAAGAGTTGTGATGTTCACTGTCCTGTCGGCCAGCTCACTACTCTGACAAAGAAATTCGGAGGAACAGCGAGACGAAAAAGGGCATATGAAAACGATCGCCTATAGTGATTTTTTAGAAATCGCAAAAACCAAACAAACAAGAACAAAAAAAATGCGAAGCTGAAAGGCCAAAAACTGATGAAAATACGTGCAGCTCTTAATAAATAAGTAGCAGCATGCGCCAGGTAGCCGGTACAACCACGCGTTTTGCGCAGTTCCGTCCAGTGGACGTTTGCCTGCTAAAAA